CTGATGGGATCCCAGTGAGCAGGATCCTACTAATGCTTCATTGTGAACTGTAAATGCCAAGTGCTACAAGGGAGGAGAAAGGGAGCTATACTGCCAGGGCTTTCTTCCCATAGTGTGTTCAGTAGTTGGCTTCTAACATGTTAGTGTTGGACTACAAGAATTTTACATATCCAGGACATTGTGCAGGGACTCCTGCACTAACTGTGATAAGTTCTATGATGAAATCCTTACACTAATGAAAAAATCACTTTGCACTGACTCCATCTGAAATAGATGGTTCCATTTCATCCAGTGCCATCAACTGTCTGATAAAAGGGTTCCAGCATATGTAACTGAGTTGCGTTGATGGTCCAAAAACTATAATTTTAGCACCAATCTTGAGCCTCTCCTGAGGTCTCAGTTCGTGTATGGGTTCAAGATGAAGCCCTGCAATGCAGACTGATGTCAACTGAGACTCTCCAAGATCATTCCAAAGGGGATTCTCCAAAGAAGTCACCACCAGCATACAATAAATTTTTCATCCCTGAGAAGCTGCCACAGGTGCAATACATGCCATTAACATATTTGCCATCATTGCAAGCACAAGGATCACATCAAATGTGTGTGTTGTGTAAAGTTTAAGCCACACAGAAAGAAGTTAAACAAGCAGGGTAAGATTTCTGCTGCCACAAATAATGTTGCTGATCCAAATGGAAATTCAGCCAGTGGAACACTCGCAGACATCTACACTACAGGTTTTGTCAACAGTGTGGACATACCTCCCCCATAGAAGAAGAGACCTACACTACATGAAGTTGCAATGTGTTCTGTGTAATACAGATAGACTCAGGCTCTGAGTTTGCCTTAATTTTGGAAGAGGCATATAAATTGCTATGGTCTTGTAATCACCCCTCTGCTGTTCCACACAAAGCAGGACTTGCCAACTTTGTGGACTTGTCAGCAGAAAGTTGATTTGAAAGGAGAATGTTACATCAGCCTCCACTGTGGGAAGAATTGAGGGGTCCTCTTTCTCATAGTTGCTGAAGGACTGTGAGCAAACTTGCTAGCTGGAGAACAGTTTGAGCCACTGGGCAGCAAGTTAACAGGAGTGTACAGTGCTGTAATGGACACCATTCAAGATATCCTAAAGAAATTCAGCAATGTTTTAAAGAGGAGCTAGATACATACCAACACCCATGATTTGTTGCTCTGACTGTGGCACCAATTTGAAAGAAGCTTTGTCATGTTGCATTTGCCCTCTGTCCAACGACTTTGCACACTGACACCCACAGTAAGACACTTTGTAGATGTGTCAATCAGATGCAAGGTTGAGTTCCAGATAATGTGCTGTCTACTTATCAAGAAAACATTATATTGCCAATGGGACTGCTTTTTATGAGTCCATCAGCTGGTGTTGTAGACCTGTTACATCCTCCAGCTGCCAAAGTGACTTGAGAAAGCCAAAAGAACCTGCTGCCATCTTCAATGAGATACCTCCAGCCCCTGGACTGAGTCATCCAAGATGAGTCATTCTCTAACCCAAGTACTTAAACTATTATCATGGGGCAAGAGATGTTATGTTCTGAAGGTTGTGTGTGTGTGTGCACACAGTCCTAGCAGGTGAAGCGGTTCCATGTTATGTTTGTCTCCTGTTTCTCCCTGCCATTATTCTTGAGCATTCAGTTAAAGTGTTTTGTTTGGTTTTGTTTTTGTTGCTCTGTGTCTGATCTCACTGGGATGAACAATGCGCAAAAAAGATGATGAAATAGATTGTTGCTTTCAGATGTTCTACAACCTCAGCCAAGTTATCAGCCATCCACAAATTCCTCCCAACTCCCTGCCAAAAAGAGCCCCTCTACACTGAAAGTGGCAGGATAACACTGAAAATGTTCTGAGGATGTGATAGGGGGAAATGATAAAACATTATTTTAGTAAGGGTTTAAATCACAGATCATCTCTTTCTTTCAGTTTCCTGGTCTGCTAGACACCTAACTTCACAAACCCCCTTTTCTTTCCACACGCTCAAAATGGCCTTCTACTCATGTTGGCCTTCAATGCCTGACTAGGCAAAATTAAGTAATAAAACTGATAGTGAAAGTATGTTTAGTAAATACTATTACAGTACTGAGTACTGAGGCCCTATTTAAATTAAATTCATCCCATGCTTTGACAGTGCCATTTTGAGGTTGCAACTCTCATAGTGTAGATAATATAACATTTCATATGTCAACAAGTTATATTCTACTCATGTTTTTAGCAACCCATATTAAGAGAGCTTAGAGCATTCTACCTAGGCTTTTATAATGGTACAAAATATAGGACCTAAGCAATAAGTACATTTTGATTAAAATATGTATGAAATGCATAGTAAGATACTGATGAGAGTTATAGCACGCTGCTAAATTCAGGTTCCAAATAAGCATGGCAAAACTTGTTTTATTTTATGATTGACTTTGTGTGTTTAAAAAAAAATCAGAAATAAAGAGACTACCAGGCATCTCCTCAAAAGAAACTACCAGGCATCCCTGATCCTGTACACCTGATATCATCATTTTGGAGGCAGTAGGTTCCTGGCATGTCATAATATTTGACCATCTCTAAGCCTACACGTCCTACTTTTTGGTGGGGCTTTCACCCTTGTTCTCACAGATAATATGCAGTACATGGCATGCAGGCATAACACAAGGCAGGGATTGTCTACAGCCTCTAGCCTTGTCAGGAGCCAGTTTTCTTAATACGCCCTCCATTGTCATCTTGCAGCTGCTAAGGCAATAGTTAAACAATTCCTTTCTATGAGTCTGTTGTCCAGTAAAAGCTTCATCAGCCAGAGAAGTAGAGGATAAGCTAGTCTCCTGAACGACAGTGGGACTATTAATACCAGTAATGTCATATAATGGCTGTTGGAGCAAAACTGCATTTTTCAATGTGCATATGAGAGTTAATTTTCCTAAGTATCTGTCATGGCGATCAAACGGTTCTTGGGGCACAACATGAACTCAGAAATGGGAGGGGCAAAAAATAGGAACATGGTTCCGTTTATTGAAAAGCAAGTCAGGAGCCCCATGCATGCAAGCTATCAAGAACTACCTAGCAAGTCTTGAAACATGTACCAGTATTGCCTTCTTAGCACCAGTGCCCTCCTAATCAGTAGCACCGTGTCTTGGCGCACTGGTCTGAATTGCTGCTCCTGCAACTTTAGAGTGAGCTCTGCTAAACAGTGCCCTGAATTCTGCAGCACCTGCTGATCATCACAGGAATATAGCACAATCCCCACTTACCAATTATCATTTGTATCCTGAGCCCCAAATGACATGGCATAGAGAAAAACGAATCCAAGAAAAGTTATCCATAAGACACTAATCATATCCTTCCAACACTCATTTTTGTCCTCAGTGTCTCATCTGCAAATCTGAAGCTCACCTGCAAAGTGTGGCATGCAAAAGCATTTTGCTTGGCATGCACACTGTAGCACAGAAATGTGCTGGAAATCAGCACAACTAAGTTCAAGGTATTGAGTGTTGGGAATTAAAGTTTGTTTTTTACAGGAAAAGAAATTAGAGGTGGTATCTTCATTTTAATACCTTGGAATCTATTTTAATAAAAATCTGAGTCAGAATAAGCACATGTAAAATGGATACACTGGGGTCTTGGGTGGAGTTCTGTTCTTGTACAATAACACAGGTAGAAGAGAAGTTCTGGCAGCACTAAAGATCTATAAATCTAAGGTATAAAAAAGTATTTTTAGCTTGTGCATTTCCTCAGAGCATCCTTATTTTTTCCCATTTTCACCTGTTGCTAGAATATGATTTTGTTTGAGTTCTTGTGTGAAACAGTAACAATGAGGTAATAGAGGTAATGGTAGCACAGCTGCATTGTTATTTGTATTGCCTTCAGTGACACCTTGAGAATGGCACAGTGTACGCTACAGGAATTTGAGGTTTTCAGTTAGAAAACCTAAAGAATGAGCTGAGTAATGCAGGTGGTGGGGAAAGGAAAGGTTGCAAGTGTCCTGGAGTTCCTACCATTTCTAATTGTTCATAAGCAATAGGATAACAGTAATAACGGACAACAGTTCCGTGCCATAATTCGTAGTACTTTTTGATGGAAGTGAACAAAGATTGTACATAAGCATGTTTAAGGTTTCCAAGTCAGAAAAAGTAAATTAGTTGGACATGGGAAAACTAGATAAAGAGATTTGTCTAATAATTCATTGTTCATTCTTTTATCTGTGCTGGAAGTTTGCGAAATCCTGAACGGTATTTTATGCTGGTGACATAAATCATTAGGTCCATCTTCTAAAGAGACTGGACCAATTCCATATCTTTGTAAACATGTAAACAGTTACTGCCATTTGCATCAGCATTTGTGACTCTCTCTGCTCCATTTGTTTACATTACATTTTGCTTCTGTAAACAGCCCTGTAGATACTAAAATAAGTGCCTTGGGAATTCCATTGAACAGCCTCATATGGAAAAGTACATACAGTTCACAACTTAGGAAAATATGGGAAGGAAACACCTTCTGCCCAGGGTTACATGCACATAACTTTGTCACCATTTGCAAGATTCTGCAGCTCACTTGCCTGTCTGGATGAGTGAACCTTGAACTAGTTTGGCCCAGTGCAAGCACTGCTGTCACGTCAGATTTGTACTTCATACACATTGCAAGCTGCTTATTTATCTCTAAGAAGATGATTTCTATCAAATGAATAGGTTCTCTCTATTGGTCTGAGCAATAGATATATAAGATTATATCCTGAAATTACTCACAATGTGGATGTTCATCCCTGAAAGGACTTTAGGCCAACGTACCCTTTATGTAAGTTGATCACAATTTGACCATATATTAATGAGCAAAACCAATGTAAACATTTTATTGTGTCATTTTAGCCATAAATACTAGACTCTGAGACCTAGTTTTCTGACAAAATCAGATCTGTCAATGATATATATCTTGCTTGTACAGCATTCAGGGTAATAAAGAGTTATTCATCCTCAGTCTTTTATGTTTCCCTTTTGCAGGTTACAACACCTGTCCCCAGTTGTCCAGGACAAATGACTCTTCATATCAATCCTTCCCTTATATGTGGGGGTGATGCATTTACGCATTCTAACTTTGATGGCTGTATAGAGTCTGCCATGTGCATTGTAGAGGCTATAAAATGTAATTTATAATGTTTTTATGATAGTTTTTTTGCATATATTTTTAAGTTTGTGCTGAATCCTATCATGATGCATTAAATGTTGGTATGCTGTCAGCAAAATTTGACTCTACTTTACAGAAATAAAAAAATTTGAAGACACTGGATTTTACTTATGTTTATTTGAATGTATTTGAGTTTTGAGGATTCATTTGATGTTTGTGTTTGGATGTTCTGCAATGAACAGAACTCTTCTGCGGCCTGATTCTATTGGGTTATTTTGCACACACTGACTTCATTGAATGTTACAAGCTTAAAGAGTAAAAGCCAGTTTTGAAAATATTACTTGCTACCTACCTGAATCTTTACTTTTATACATCTAGCTCCAAAATACTTCTGAAAGATTCACTCAGGCACTATACTGCCACGCGTCCTTGACCTTTGCCCAGAACTGTCACTGACATCAGTATTGGGAACCAGCTTAACATGTGGCTAAAATAGTTACAACAAAGATTTCCAAACATGGGGCCTGAAGTTATGATGTTTTAAGCTCAAGGTTGTATACCTGTGACCTGGCAGATCAGTGCCTGCCTGAGATTCTGAGCACTTGACAGTTTCATTGACTTCGTGAAGAGGTGCTGGTTTCTCTAAAAACTAAGTCACTAGTTGAGGAACCAGGAGTAATATTGCTGCCTCTTGTCCCCCAATCCCATCCTAAATTAATGTAATAAGTGAAGATGTTCATTGCAGCTCTGGGGCAGGCTTTTGTTCCAAGGCAACAGAAACTCCATTATGACTAGCAATATTATTATTTAATTAATCCAGTCAAATCGGTGCTCTGAGGTGTAATTTATTTTTAATATTACTTAACAAGTACAGTTATTTTTAATTTGTCAAGACTGTCTTTGAATGCAAAATATGTCACTAAGAGCTGTATGTTTGCAAGATCCATCTCTTTACTACAAGAAATGTCATACCAATAAAAATTGTTACCCATCCTTGGTAAAGTCCAATCATAAGTGTACAAACTGCACACATCAAGGAAAGAATGAAGAGGGAGTAAAAAAAATGAATTTACTTGTATCTCTGCCTCCCTTGTTTTACTAGGTCTGTTACCTTGAAGTGTTCTCTAGAATATACTTTTGCATCTCAGCTGTAACAGTAAGTTAACTTTAATGTATTTAATACAACAAAAAAACTACTGGACCAGAAAATAGATGCACTTAAAATAGTTCAATAATTTGCCAGTTTAGTGGTTCAGCCTATAGTGCATCAAGCCTCAGGACTTTGATCCTTTGCTGCCTAGAGAGAAACTGATCCAGTCTCCAAAATAAGTAGTAGTCTGGTGACTAAGGAAAAGGAACAGTAACAGCAAATATGGAAGTACACACCATTATTTTAGTGGGCAGGAAATGCAGTGATGAGGTATAGAAAAAATATATAGTATATTAATATAGTTACAAAACAAGGTAATAAAAATAATCATAAACATGGCTTTCTAAGTTTAGAGTTACACTGGCAACACAATTAAATTAACCCATTTCAATCGTAGTAATTATGCACTATAATAAATTCCAGACCTTAGATACTTTATTGATAGAACATTTATAGATGCAGATTTGTTGCGATATCTCTGTGAAAATATATAATGAGAAGGAATGAACAATGACAATACCCAATAAGTGTATTCAAGTGATAAATGGGTTTGGTAGCCGCTTGATTTCATATGTGCTCGCTAATGAGTACAGCTTTAGCTGAAATAAAACTTTATGATGCATTGGTAAAAAAGCTTAACTAATAACTTGCCTTCCTGCATGTCCATTTTAGATGCTGAAGATGACAGATTATAACAGGCAGGTAGATTTTTTCTCCTTTGTTTCTGGCCAGGAAAAATGGATTTGGGGGAAAAGAGTTTTACTGGTGTGTTACTTTTTGTTTAAAAAAAGCAAAACTATCACTGAGGTACTTTACCAGATCCTGGTGTCAGACACAACTTGCTATATAACTCAGTTAAATCAACAGTAAATATGAAAGACAATGAATTTACTTGATTTACACTGATATACCTGGGATCAAATCTGTCCAGCTGTCTCATACAACAGAACCACTGTCCATATTCTGTCCGTTGGAGTTGGTGCAGGACTTTTCACTTAAAAATGCTACCTATTGTCAAAATGAGAATGGGAGTTATGAATTACAATGTTCAGTAAATCAGAAACTACAGAAAATCAACATCGTATTGTTATTTTATTCATCCATGTCTCTCATTGGCTTCTGAGAATTAAAAAATTCCATGGTGAGGCTTTCTGCAGACTTGCCTAGAGTAAAATCTCACTTAAGTCTGTTTTGGTAATCCTGATTTCTGTCATTTACATCGTTCCAGCTTCTTTCCATCTTATGAAGCAACTACTGTGACAAGCAATTGTGCCCTAAAGGGCAACAAAACCAGGCTGGAAATACTATTGTATCATTCAGTCAGGTTACATTTTCTCTCTCCAGTACAGGAATTCCCAATTATTTATTTTCCCTAATAGACAAATATTGCTGGTAATCAAGAGCAATATATTCATTTGTTAAACAGATTTTATTGAAATAAACATGTAATATATGAAGGGCTGGTTTGCACTCCAGTTTTTTATAGCTGACATTTTGAAACTACATAGTTTAACTTGTGAAGGAAATCATTATTTCACAGGCCAGGTGCCCAGAGATTGGAAACTAGCTAATGA